CTGATCACAGGCCAGGTGTGGTGGCTCACATCTGTAATCCAGAACTTTGGGAGGTGACGAAGGGCAGATCACTTCATTCCAGGAGTTTGAGTCAAGCCTGGGCAATATAGAGCAACCCCATCTCTACAGAAAAAGAAAAATTATACATCAAAAAATTAGCCTGGTGTGGTGGTGATGCCTGTAGACAACTATTTGAGAGGTTGAGGTCAGAAGGTCACTTAAACTCAGGTGTTTGAGGTTCCAGTGAGCTATGATTGTGCCACTGCACTCCAGCCTGGGTGACAGAGGAAGACTGTCTCAAAAAAAAAAAAAAAAAAATCACAACACTCCAGAAATCTGCAGAGGGTTCTCCTCTAGTCTCTTTGTGAATACTAAGCCACACATGAATAGGGTGAGACTGCTTGAGGCTGGGAAAAGAGCTCAGTTAAACATTACTACGACTCACACAGGGATGAGAAACATTTGAGTTCAGATCAGGCAGAGTGGAGACTCCTCAAAGGACTAGTTATCTAGAATACAAACATTCACAAAACTACAGTGAAGGAAAATCAACTAACAAATGGGCAAAAATGTGAGCAGACATTTTCACTGAAGAGGATATAAACATGGCAACTAACATGAGAAAAATTCTGAATATCACCACTAAGAAAATGAAAATTTAAACTATTACAGGACTTTAGGTGTCCGTTTTCAGGCTGGGCCAAAAACCTCTGCGGCTGCCCACGGAATTCATGTCTTGGCCTGCATCCAAGACAAGACTCATAACGTATGCATGAGGCATGAGAAACACAAACAATAAGGGTGAACAAGATGAAGATGAGCCTTTTTTTTTTTTTTTTGAGTCGGAGTTTCGTTCTTGTTACCCAGGCTGGTGTGCAATGGCGCGATCTCAGCTCACCGCAACCTCCGCCTCCTGGGTTCAAGCAATTCTCCTGCCTCAGCCTCCAGAGTAGCTGGGACTACAGGCATGTGCCACCATGCCCAGCTAATTTGTGTATTTTTAGTAGAGACGGAGTTTCACCATGTTGACCAGGATGGTCTCGATCTCTTGACCTCGTGATCCACCCGCCTCGGCCTCCCAAAGTGCTGGGATAATAGGTGTGAGCCACCATGCCCGGCCCTGAAGATGAGCTTTATTAAGTATCAGAACAGCAGCCCATGAGGTAGCTCCTCTCTGCAGGCAGGTCATCCATTAAGCGTTCAGTTCTCAGCAGAGAAGAGGCCCTGGAGGGTAGCTCCTCTCTGCAACTAGGCCTCCTGATGTCCATGTCTGCAGCTCTCAGGGAGGCAGCCCTGAAAACAGTGGCTCCTCATTGCCGGCAGATCCTCTTCGCAGCTCTTCAGCGGGAGAGGATAAGGGTCCTCTCGGTAGCTCCTCAGCAAGAGAGAGGACCTTCTCCGTAGTGCTCAGTCAGTGGAGACCATCCCTGGAGAGTGGCTTCTCTCTACCGGCAAGTGGACTCTGCAGTTCCCAGCAGAGAGACTAAGTCTTCTCTGCAGCTGGTTATCCCCAACCTGTCTGCAGAAAGAATACTCCTCCCTGCACCCGCACCGTCACTTTCCGGAGGCTGAGCCCAGGGCTTTTATAGACCTCAGAGGGGAGGAAGTGCGTGCTGATTGGTCCATGAGTATCCATGGGTGGGCCCAGAAGAAGCACCACAAGTCCCCACTCCAGTCGGCTGGATTGGTAGCCCGGCTCCCAGCCTTCAGGCCCTCTCTGGCCTAGAAGTGGGACCTCACCGGGACCTGCCCCTTCTGTCCAGGCCTCCAGCTGCCATTCGTGGCCGGGATTCGGGCCCCAACCCGGCTATGAAATCCTCTGAGATCGGAGCAGGTGCAGGAGAGGAGAGGCGCCAGGCAGTGGAAGCAGACACTCCCAGCCTGCAGAGATGGGGGTGGGCTGTACCCATCCTGGTCCTGAGGACATGGCTGCAAAGATTCCCGGACCCTGCACCTGAGAGGGTGGCTGCAGTTGCACCTGGGGAGCTCCCACCCTGCCAACTCAGAAGGGGCAAGGTTCCTGCTTGTCCCCGGCTCCTGCCTGCTCTAAAAATGACAAATTTTTAGAACTGGAGGAGTAATTAGTGGTAGCTAGAGCTGGAGAGAGGGGTAGGGGTGGATGAGAACAGGAAGGAGGAGCCTGTGATCATAAAACTGCAACATGAGGATCTTTGTGATGCTGGAACTGATCAGCTTCTTAACTGTGGTGTTGAATAGGTGAACCTACACAGGGGAGAACTTCTGTAACAATACACCCTCTCTCTCTTCTCTCTCTCTCTGTCTTACACACACACACACACACACACACACACACATCCATATACATACATATACACACATACAATGAGCACAAGTAAAATTAGGGAAATCTGATTGAGATTAGTGGAGTCTGTCAATGTCAATACCCTCATATAATATTTCGTCAGGTATAACGGATACTATTATACTATATGTTCAAATGTTACCATTGGAGGAAACAGGACAAAGTGAGTGTCCATCTCTCTGTGTCATTTCTTTTTTTTTTTAACATCAGTTTTGTTGTTACAATTTACATCAACAAAATGCACCCATTTTAAGGGTACACTTCTATGTTTTGACAAATGTATACAATCGTATGATCACCACCACAAAAAAAGATGTAGAATATTTTCATCATCCTGAAAGGTTCCTTATGTCTCTTCCCGGTCAACCACACTCTCCACAATACCCCTGCTTCTAGACCCTCGTAACCCTGATCTACTGTCACGATAGATGTGTCTTTTCTAGGTTTCACATAAATTTATAGAGTGTGAATACTGTATGATTCCAATTATATGACACTCTAGAGAAGGCAAAACTATGGAAACTAAAAAGATCAGTGGTTGCCAAGGGTTGGGCGAGAGAGTAGGATGAACAGGCAGAGCACAGAGGATTTTTAGGACAGAGTGAGTCTTTTCTGTATGATACTATAATCATGGATACATATTACAGTATACATTTGTCAAAACCTATAGAATGCACAACACCAAGAGCGAATGTATCAGGCAGGCAGGCAGGCAGGAAGGAAGGAAGGAAAGAAGGAAGGAAGGGGAGAGTAAAAGGAAAGAAAGAAAGAGAAAGAAAGGAAAGAAAGAGAAAGAAATGAAGGAAAGAAGGAAAGAAAGAAAGGGAGGGAAGGAAGGAAGGGAGGGAGGGAAGACAACAGCTCAGTGCCTATCAGATCTATACATTTTAGAGTCTTCAGGGTTGGATCCACTTCTCCTGCATCTCTCTGTTCTTTCGCTGGGCAATTTCATCGTCTTACTACAACTCTAACATGTATAGACCATTTTTCTTAGCACTAACTCTCCATATCCAACGGTCTACTACATATTTTAAGGTCAGCATGTGCAAATCTAAACTCTTTATCAGTCCCCTCAAACTTGACCTCCATCCAGGATTCTCCACTTGCATACATGATACCATCATCTATCCAGTTTCTCAAGAGAAAAATAAAGAAGTCACCTCTCTACATCCAATCCATCAGCAAGTCTTGTAATCCAACTTCCAAAGCCTATACCAAATTCTTAACACTTCTCACTCCTCTGCAATCATCCCTATTACAAAACACGAATATCCCTTACCTGGGCAACTGCAGTTACCTCTTAATTGGTCTCTTTCTCCCCAGCCTAGAGTAAATGATCCACCATTCTTTTTTTTTTTTTTTTTTTGAGACGGAGTTTCGCTCTTGTTACCCAGGCTAGAGTGCAATGGTGCAATCTCGGCTCACCACAACCTCTGCCTCCCGGGTTCAGGCAATTCTCCTGCCTCAGCCTCCTGAGTAGCTGGGATTACAGGCACACGCCACCATGCCCAGCTAATTTTTTGTAGTTTTAGTAGAGACGCGGTTTCACCATGTTGACCAGGATGGTCTCGATCTCTTGACCTCGTGATCCACCCACCTCGGCTTCCCAAAGTGCTGGGATTACAAGCATGAGCCACCGCGCCCGGCCATGATCCACCATTCTTATAATCCGCTGCATTCTTCCTACGCAGCTCTTATCACAATTTACACTTTTCTGGTTTACCTGCCTCCCCTTTAACAGGTTAGCACTGCAAGCCTGGCGGCTTCAAAAACACCAGGAAGTCCAGTGTTTTTGGGAGACCAAAGTAGGAGGAACACTTAAGGCCAGGAGTTTGAGACCAGCTTGGGCAAGATAGCAAAACCCATCTCTACTAAAAATTTAAAAATTAGGCAGGCAAGGTGGCCTGCAACGCTAGTCCCAGCTACTCAGGAGGCTGAGGCAAGAGGACTGCTTGGAGCCCAGGAGTTCGAGGCTGCAGCCAGTTATGATTGCACCACTGCACTCCAGCCTGGGTGACAGAGCAGGACCCTCAACTCTTAAAAACAAACAAACAACAACAAAAAACAGTGAGCTCCATGAGGACAAGAGTGAAGTGTGCTTTCTTATCATCTTGTCCCAGTGCTCTGCACACTAGCTGGCACGTTAAATGTTCATAGAATTCGTCAGTAAGGAAATCAGACATAGCATGCATACTGCTGAGGACCAGGCCCGTTGCCACCTTCCCAGCAGGCTCCTTTCAACAGAGGGGCTCTCCCCATTGCACTTCCCAAGCACTTTGATTTGCAAGTGTTTAACTTACCAGCAACTTCTTCTCACATGTGCCTCCGTGTATAGTGGAATTCTATTTGGTCTTTGATTAATGTCCCGTCTCAGAAAGGCCTTTCCTGACCACCCAATCTAAACTAGATCTCAACCCATCATCCCATCATCCCCCAGCACCATACCCAGTTAGTTTCCTGCAGAGCATTTTCAACATCTGTAATTATGAATTTCTTTCTTTCTTTCTTTGTTCGGTTTCCCCCTGAGGATGAGAACTATGAAGACGATGTTCTGTCCACTAATAGCTCCTCAATACCCAATACAGAGCCTGGAATCTGGCTGGGGCCTAATAAATATTTCTTCAGTGGATGAAAGGACGCATGGAAAGTTCTCTTGGCCTCATTAAACAACCAGTTCCGGGGAGAGCGGCGGGGCCTTGAGCGTGACTCGCCGGCTCCGCGCTGCTTCCCCGGCGCTGCCTGCCCGGGCCACCCGAGCAGCCATGTCCGAGGAGAAGCCCAAGGAGGGCGTGAAGACGGAGAACGACCACATCAACCTGAAGGTGGCCGGGCAGGACGGCTCCGTGGTGCAGTTCAAAATCAAGAGGCACACGCCGCTGAGCAAGCTGATGAAGGCCTACTGCGAGAGGCAGGGCTTGTCAATGAGACAGATTAGATTCAGGTTTGACGGGCAGCCAATTAATGAAACCGACACTCCAGCACAGCTGGAGATGGAGGACGAGGACACCATCGATGAGTTCTAGCAGCAGACAGGAGGTGCGCCGGAGAGCAGCCTGGCGGGGCATGGTTTCTAGAGGGCCGTCCCCAGCCTGGGCCGTCCGTCCTTGCATTGCTGTTGAATGGTGACCATGCCGACCACAAAGTCGTCTGTGGAAACTCGAGGACATTCACCACAGTTATTTTCCTCTCCTTGATGTACTTCAAGTGCAACTCAAAACTCTATCTGCAGGGATGAATCTGTAACTTAAATTGGGCCAATCAGAATTGTTATCTTTGTTCCGGTAAAATGAGCTGCAAGGTATTTTGGGTTTGTTTTTGTTTTCATTTTTGTTTTCCCCCTCCTGTAACATTTGTTTAACCCCAAAATTGTAGCCTGAATGTTCACTTTTAGTCTGGCTAGGGATCTGACTCCTGAATTGGTTGCCTCTCCTCTGCTCACTCCAGTCACATAGAGAATTGGTGTTTCCTGCAGTGGGGGTACGGCTGTTGGACAGGTGTTGGGGGAAAGGTGGGTAGGGAAGACAGACTGTCATTTGCGGTTATAGGCACAGGTGATTAAAATGCGAAATATTGCAAATTTAAGCTTTGTCAGTATATGGTAAAGTTTACAGGAGAATACTGGAATGTTTTTTCAAAGGGTAAAAAATAACTGAGTCCTTTCGTAATTTGGCCCCATGGGCTCTCTGGCCCTTGAGCATGTGACCTTGGGGTCTGAGGCCCAGGACCCACCTCCCTACCACCCTCCCACCCCACTCCCCGCTCAGTATCTGGCATTGGCACACAGGCAAGGATTGGCACAACCAAAATTGGCTTTTTCTTCTTCTCAATGTTGAAGAAATTCCCACATTTCTCATTTGGTATTGGTGTTGTGGCCTCAGGTTTCTTCTAGTATTGGCTTCTGATGAATAATTATGGTCTATACATTAAAAAGTAAGATTAAGTATTGCTGAATTTGCAGTTACGTTGTTGTGTAAAAGAGCTACTTCCAAGTGTGGTTACAAATGAACCCATGGAATGATGACTTCACGTTCTTCTCGTGAGTGTGCTGTGCTGCTTTCCAAATATGTATTAAATTTATGCATTAGTCTGGTGATTTCAGTTCTGTGAAATATTTTGGGATCTATACCAGTTAAACATTTTCATAGTTAAAAAAAAAAAAAAACAGTTCCAAAAAATAGGCACTTTCTCAGAAATTGGAACAAATGTGATTTTTCTGTGTCAGTTCTCACTAAACTGCCCAGAAACCTCCTGGCTTCTTGAAATATCTGCTGAGAATTCCAGCTATTCCAGTGAGCATTTGCACACACAGCACAGCTGGGCTGGCAGGTTCATGATGCAAGGAGACCTGTTCTCCTCATTACCCCCGACTCACCCCCATCACTGCTCTCACCCGGACCTTCCCCCTGGCCTCCTAAGGTCCCTAGAATGGAAAAGCCTCTCCCTTGCGAAGCCTCCCAGCCTTTCTGTCTGAGGGAGCCTCACGTTTTATTCTCCCTCAGAGGACACCCTTGAACAGCTAGGGTGATGGTGCCCTGGGAAAGGCATTGTTTTCTTTAGGACAAAGGGTTTCTTCTCTTCTCAATCCATACCTGAGCCTTAGTTAGGTCCCACCCAGTCCCATGACTTTAAGCTCCATCTACATCTTCACTCCTCAAAGCCTTCCCTGTGGACCAGCACCAGCACCTGGGAGCATGTTCAAAATGCAGATTCCCAGGTACTGCCTAGTTCTACTGAATCAGCATCTACATTTTAACAGACTCCCAGGCAACTCATAGCACTTGACAGTGTGTTCCTCCATGCCTGACGACTCCCAAGTTACCTCCTGTCCTGACATCTGTCCCAGCCACTCTGTAGCAGCTCATGTCACATCTCCGTGTGGAAGCCCATCAGGCATCTGAAACCCAACATGTCCAAATCAGACTCTTAGCTCCTGCTCCCCAGGCCTGCTCCTCCCCCGGCCATGATATCTTCTGGCACAGGGCACTCCTTAGGCACCAACTGAATAATTCATTCTTCATGGGCTGATTAGTTGCTCAGTTGCTGGGCTGGAGGCCAAGAAGAATTGTAAGGAGAGCTTAACAAGTGATAAAAAGCCTCAGGGCCAGGGAAGGATTGTGCATGCCTGTAGTCTCAGCTACTCAGGAGACTGGAGGAAACCTTAAGCCCAGGAGTTTGAGGCCAGCCTGGGTAACATAGCAAGACAGTCTCTAAAAAAAATGTCTGAGGGATGTTGCTGGAATTATACAGCATTCCAACACAGTCCTCTCTTGTGTCCAGCTTAGTGACTTTATCATAATGAACTCCATCCATGTATATCAACTTGGATACATCCCAAAGCATTGCTGAATAATAAGAAATGGCAAATGATATGCGGAACCTACAGGAGTGATCACTAGCGCTGTCTACGAAATATTTCCAGTTCCCCCAGGCACAAAATTTCCCATTCCTTAGAGCTAGGTGATTTTGTTAGTGGAGGCAGGTAGCCAGGCATGGGCAGCTTCCTTTCTGCGCGTCTCTGGTCTGCATTCTTTCCTTCAAGAAGAGCAAGGACTGGAGGACTCCCTTGCTCCTCTGGGTAACAATTCCACATGACTTGTTCTGGCCATGGATATGTGAGAAGCGATATGAATCACTTCTGTGTGGAAGCTTGAAGGGACAATCCACTCTTTTTTTTTTCCTTCCTTTCTCAGCCTCTCGTGCTGAGTCTCTTAGTGGCTCCAAAGAACAGATCCCTGTTGTAGACACTTGTCAACCATGTGTTGGAGTGAGAAATAAATGTTTGCAGAGCCACTGAAGTTTCGGAATTATTTGTTACCACACCAAAGTTTACCCCTTCCTGAGTGATGCATCTGCACACGCATGCACGTTACACACACACACACCACCACCACCAATAGATATGTTTTCTCGAACATAATATATTATGGAAGTATCTTTAGGCCTGGGTGCGGTGGCTCGTGCCTGTGCACTTTGGGAAGCTGAGGCAAGAGGATCGCTTGAGCCCAGTAGTTCGAGACCACCTGGACAACATAGCCAGACCCTGTCTCTACAAAAAAATGAAATTAGCTGAGCATCATAGTGCATGCCTGTGGTTCCAGCTACCCAGGAGACTGATGTGGGAGGATCACTTGAGCCCAGGAGGTTGAGGCTGCAGTGAGCCAAGATCGCACCACAGCACTCTAGCATGGGTGACAGAGGGAGACCCTGCCTCAAATAAATAAATACATAAATAAATATCCCATGTATCTTTTGTATAAGTAATCCATGTTCACTATAGAAAAATTAAAAAATAAGAACGAGCTTTGTGCATCTCATCACTCACAAGACCTCATCATGGTCTGAGAAAGCCCATTCCCTTCCACCTGTCTCAGAGGCTAAATGTACTCTGTGGACCCACAAAATTTGCTTCACTTACAGCTGCAGTTCTCCACCCACTTTGGACTTAATTGGCTTGGAGTGGGGCCCAGGTATTCACATTTTTTAAAAATGCCTTTAGGCTGGGTAGCATGGCCCATGCCCATAATCCCAGCACTTTGGGAGGTAGAGGTGGGAGGATGGCTTGAATCCAGGAGTTTGAGGCCAGCCTGAGCAAGAAAGCATGACCCTTGTCTCTATAAAAATTAAAAAAAAATAGCCAGATGTGGTGCTGTGTACCTGCAGTCCCAGCTATTTGGGAGGCTGAGGCAGGAGGATCACTTGAGCCCAGGAGTTCAAGGCTGCAATGAGCTATGATTGTACCACAAACTTCAGCCTGGACAACAGAGTAAGATTCTATCTCTTTAAAAAAAAAATGGCTTCCAGCAATTCTAAGGTAGAGATGAGAATGAAAACCACTGCCTTCCATCACTGCTCCTGCCTACCTCTTCCTTGTCTCCCATTTCTGTTACTGTTTCTTACATTCCTGTTGAATTTGAACAGAATAGTTTCTTAAGTACAAACATTGTCTAAAGCCGCACTTTCTCTTTCCAGCAGCTCAGAGAACCCATCACTTGAGTCCTGTCTCCTGAGATCCTGCCTTGATGATTAGGTTTCCTTTGCTTTGATTTCAAGGTTTTGTGTACATTGTGGGCACACACAGTGAAATTGCCTAAAGACCAGAATTAAGTGCTCAGCAGTGACCCATGTAGACAGGTGGAGGTTCTGATCCAGACATCCACTTGGAAAGGGTTTGCAGCATGGCAGACTAGTTGGGGAGAAACTTCCATCCTCCAAATCTTCAGAGGGCCTTTCATTTCTCCCAGTTACCTCTAACTCTCTCAGAACTTTTTCTACAAACAAAAGATACAGGAGGAAAAAAATTTCAAGAATTTTATTTCATGCTTCTGCATTTACAGATATTTTTATACCCAGAAACAGTGGCAACTAATGTTTGAGGGCTTGTTTTAAGATAGACACTGTTCTAAGATTTATGACAACAAGATAGTCTAGTCAAAACAGTGTCCCATTTTACACATGAAGAAACTGAAGCTGGTTGCAGGGATTCTTGCCTGCTCCCCATCACTTGCATTACCCCCTGAGCTCCGCCTCTTGTGAGATCCCCAGTGGCATTTGATTTTCATAGAAGCAGGAACCCTATTGTGAATGGCACATGTGAGGGATCTAGGTTGCACTCCTTATGATAATCTAATGCCTGATGACCTGTCATATTCTCCCATCACTCCCAGAAGAGACTGTCTAGTTGCAGGAAAACAAACTCAGGGCTCCCACTGATTCTACATTATGGCGAGTTGTATAATTATTTCATTATATATTGCAATGTAATAATAATAGAAATGAAGTTCACAATAAATGTAACGCACTTGAAACCTCCCCCCACCACACACACACCCTGTGTCTGGTTTCTTCCATGAAACCAGTCCCTGGTGTCAAAAAGGTTGGGGACCACTAGTCTAGAGTAAAAATATTGAATGAGAATATAGTTACCAGATGTTCTTAAACACTGGAAGAGAAAGTGAAATGTAACACAGTGCACATGCGGGTGCTGGATGGATGAATATGTAAATGTTATGGAGGGCACTGAAGATGGATGGATGCTTTCCTTCAAGAAGGAATACCCCTGATGTCCAAAGGGGCTGACCTTGAGCCACCACCTCCCAGGAAGAAAAGCTCTTTATCAAGAGGCTACCTGGAGGACTTAAACAATAAGTACAGCTGAGGAAGAGTTGGCTGATATGGAAATAGAAACCCCACCCACAAATGCTGCCATATTAACACCTACTATTTGGCTTCACGGTTGGCATCTTGCTGTGCCAGCCTGAGGGGGTAAAGTGACCTCAACCTCCCCTCTTGCCTGCCCCTGCTGCTTCCCTCCAGGGAACTTACAGGGTGTAGAGAACTGTAGGAGTTCAGTCAGGGTGGTGGGAGACATTGTAGGAAAAGAACACAAACCTTCTTGGAAGGCTGGGAGATTTTTGCAAAAGGCTTAGAAAAGAGGTTATGGCTGAAGGCAGCCTAGTCCCCTTTCCTTGAGCAAACTGCTATAGAGCAGATACAAAGGAATGTAGGGAGTTTATCTAAAGAGCTTGTTTAGTCATATGGTCCTAAGACAGACCTTTGAACATCCATGGGCACATGACTGGTCTCTACTCAAGAGGTTGCAAAGTTAATTAACTACAAATGGTGTTTGCTTTATGACCTTGTCATTAAATCTGTACTAAGTAAAGGCCCATGGGGCTGGTTGGTGGGGGCCATGGCTGCTGACTCTTTACAGCACCCTCCTCTGTGTTCATAAGTGGCCTGGTCCCCTAGCCTGCTCTTTCACTGGATATCTATGTCTGAGTGCATTTGTTCATCCGTTGCTGGGTCAGTGTCTGCAGGTCCGACCTGACAGAGAGCATAACCAGGAATGCCATCTTCAAGATGGCACTGGCATGGGTGACAGTGTGCCTCCTCTATGGGCCTGCCATCATCAGCTGGGACTACGT